TGGTGTGTGTGTATGTGTTTGTGTGTGTGTTTGGGGGTGTGTGTTAGTATTGTTTGTGTGTGGTAGTGTGTTGTATGTAGGGTGTGTGTGTAGTTGTGTTGTGGTTTGTAATGTGTTTGTTTTGTGTATGTGTGTGTGTGTTGTGTGTGGTGATTTGTGTATGAAGTGTTATGGGTGGTGTGGTTGTGGTTAATGTGTGTGTGTGTGTATGTATGTGTGTGTTGTTGTGGTGTGTGTGTGTGTGTGTGTTGGGTGTGGGTGTGTGTTGTGTGGTGTATGAGTGTTGTGTGTGTGTGTGTGTGTGTGTTGTGTGTGTGTGTGTGTGGTATTGTATTTGGGTGTGTTAGTGTGTGTGGTGTGTGTGGTGTTGTGTGTAGTGTAGGGGTTGTGTGTGTGTTGGTTGTGTTGTTGTGTGTTGTGTGTATGTATGTGTGTGTGTGTGTGGGGGGAATTGTGGGGTGTGTGTGTTGTGGGGTGTGTGTAGGGGTATGTGGTGTGTGTGTGGGTTGTGTGTGTGTGTGGTGTATTATGATGGTGTGTGTGTGTGGATTTGGTGTGTGTGTTTTTAAAAATGTTTTGGGGTGTGTTGTGTGGGGGGGTTGTGTGTTGGTATGTGGTGGGTGTGGGGTTGTGGTGTGTAATAGATTGTGATGTGTGTTGGTGGTATTATTGGTGGTGTGTGTGTGGTGTGATTTGTGGGTTTAGAGGGTGGGTATGAAAGTGAGTGTTGGAGATGATGGGTTGTGTGTGAAGTGTATGATGTTTTGTTGTGTTGGATTTTTGGGTGTGTTTTTAGATTGTTGTGTTTGTAGTGTATGGAGTTGGGGAATGTGAAGTGATATTGGTGGTGTATGTGAATGGTTTGGATGAGGGTGTATGGGGTGGTGGTGTTAGATGTGTTGGTGTGTTGTATGATTGTTTGGTGTGTGTGGGGTTGTGTGTGGTGTGTGTGTGGTTGGGGTATGTAGTGTGTGTGGGTGTTTGGGGTGTGTTGGTTGTGTGTGGGATTTAGTGTATGTTTGGTGTGGTGTGTGTGTGGTGTGTTTTGGGGATGATGTTGTGTGGTTGCTTGGTGTGTTGTGTGTGTGTTATGTATTGTGTGGGGGTGTTTGTGGGTGGTGTTGTTATTTGGTGTGTGTGGTGTGTGTGTGTTTTTGTGTATGTATTGGTGGTTGTGGGGTGTGTATGTATTGTGGGGTGGTGGTGTGGTGTGGGGTGGTAGGTGTGGTTTGTGGGTGGTGTATAGTTGGTGTGGTGGGTGGGTGTGTGGGTGTTGGGGTGGTGGGGGTGTGTTGTTGGGTGTGTGTGTGTGGTGTAGAGGTGTGGGTTTGGGTGGGTTAGTTGGGGTTGGGGGGTTGTGTACCTTTTGCTGTAACGAAAATTTGAGAATAAACACAGGAAACAGAGATAATTTCAAGTAGGTTTGAAATGTTTCAGTTGTGGGTAACAAATGTCTGCGGGATTTCAAGTACAATAAATACAATGTCATTGGTACTGTAAAAGAAAATGAAAGAGAGGACACAACAGCCTTGGAGGACAGCAGTTGGTAATATCACTCATGGTAAAGGACCTCAAGTAACCATCACACGAAGCTCATTACAGAAGGTAAACATGAACCTTGTAACTTCTGCAAGCATACAAAGACTAACAAACCTCGGCCCAGCATTCAGGAACCTAAGCGAAGAATTCTTCACAACTTTATACACGACATAAGTTAGCCCAATTATTGAGTACGTGGCCCAGGTATACAGCCAGTTCTCGCACCAAAAGTGATGAGCATTCGGATTTGAACGTTTTGTTTTTACTCTCGGCCACTTCGCTGCCAGCCCTATCGCGGCCGTTTTTTTTTTTTTTTTTTTTTTTTGTATTGATTTTGTAATTTGCTTATTTGTGGTTAAATGCAAATTGTAGTAATCTTATCTAGCTCAGTCTAGCGTAACCTTAATCAACTTAACCTAAATTTCGAATGAGGAACATAACATTTGAGGAAAAACTCGACCCATTAAGTAACTGGCGTTGACCACCACGTCAAAAAACTGACGTAGTAAAATTGGAATGGATTGCAGTGTGGCGTCGCAGCTCTGCCAAGCAAAACTGCGACACTACAATGCACCTCGAAAAAGTCCAAAGTTCTGCAGCCAGATTTGTCCCATAATTGAGGAGGATGAACTGTGAAGAGAAGTCCGGGGAACTGATCCTACTGACCTTGTCAAGGAGAGTGTGGGAGCCTTGATCACGACGTGCCAAATTCTAAGATAAATTGATAGATGGGATAGCAATAAGCAGAATAAAGAGAATCAAGGACAAGGGGGCACAAATAAGCGATATATATGTTATCAAGTGCTTATTCTCAAGAGTGGTTAAAAATGAAATACGTTGGATGAGGGGGCAGAGGTAAACTCAGTGCGTAGCTTCACTAACAGGTACGATAAGGGCCAAAAGGCTATAAACCAGTTATAAAGAACAAAGTAGAAAAGGAACCTAGTCCAGGACATCACTCAACCACCATATAAAATTCAGTGAGTAAAACTGAGAACAATAAGAAGCAGTAACACAGCAAGGTGCTGTAACACAGCAAGGTGCTGTAACACAGCAAGGTGCTGTAACACAGCAATGTGCTGTAACACATCAAGGTGCTGTAACACAGCACGGTGCTGTAACACAGCAAGGCGCTGTAACACAGCAAGGTACTGTAACGCAGAAAGGTGCTGTAATACTGCAAGAAGCCGTAACACTGCAAGATGCTGTTACACTGAAAAAAGTTGGTACTGTAACACAATAAGAAGCAGTAACACTGCAAGATGCTGTAACACTGCAAGAAGCTGTAACATTGCAAGTTGTTGTAACACAATAAGAAGCAGTAACACTGCAAGGTGCTGTAACACAACAAGAAGCAGTAACACTACAAGGTGCTGTAACACAGTAAGAAGCAGTAACACTGCAAAGTGCTGTAACATAAAAATCAGTAACGCTGCAAGGTGCAGTAGCATGGCAAGAAGCAGTAACGCAACCACAGCAACACAGCAGCTTACAATAACAGCAAAGTGTAGCGTGATGCAAGACGACTGATAAACGGTGCTGACGCTTGTCATTCTCAGGTTCAAGGTTTCCAGTCGCTTGTGCAACTCTCAGAAAACGTGGCCGAGTTGAGCTTAGGATGTCCGAGACGAGATGGTCTTGAGACCATGGCGAAGCCTTGAAGAATGTCATACATGTCCTCCTGGTAATGTCGTAAACCTATTAATAATATATAGGTGTAGATGCTTCAGTGTGTCATGTTGTTAGGAAGTAGGATGTGGTTTTAGAAGAATGTTGTGATTGTACATGTCGCAAGTACTCTTCCTGACTGTCACAATAACATTTTACACACACACACACACACACACACACCACACACACACACACACATACACACACCATATATACATATAAATATATATATAATATTAATAGAGAGAGAGAGAGAGAGAGAGAGAGAGAAAAGAGAGAGAGAGAGAGAGAGAGAGAGAGAGAGAGAGAGAGAGAGAGAGAGAGAGAGAGGAACTCACAGTAAAATACGTAATTAGAAATATGAAAAAATACCATAGTGAAAATAGGAAATAAAACCTGAAGATATGTGTGTAAGTACACGAAAACGCTTGAGTTTTATTTCGTATTTTAACTGTGGTACTTATATATTTCGTAGTTTTACAAGTACAACCCACATGTGTTCTTTAGTGGAGCCTTAACATTTTCAGTCAGAGTGCAAGTGTTATTTAATTGTGCCACGCTACAACACTTGTTCTGTGCCATGTTGTGCCATACTGCAACACTTGTTCTGTGCCATGTTGTGCCATGCTACGACACTTGTTCTGTGCCATGTTGTGCCACGCTACAACACTTGTTCTGTGCCATGTTGTGCCACGCTACAACACTTGTTCTGTGCCATGTTGTGCCATGCTACAACACTTGTTCTGTGTCATGCTGTGCCATACTATAATACTTGTTCAGTGCCATATTGTGCCATACCACAACACTTGTTCTGTGCCATAATCGTCATATATTCTCTATTACTATCATAACGATACTGTGTCCGAGACTGACACAAAGAGATGGAGTCTTCTTCCACATCCAAGCAGTGTTCTTGTGTGCTGGTTCAGTGGAGCTGTGTTAGATGGGACACAGTGGGTGCCTCCGTGGTAGTCAAGAGGAAAGTCCGTGCCGACACTCTGCTGTGTGACCACGGAAACATTCTCCACAGAACGTAATGAAATCGATGAGCATCTCGCAGCCGAAGTGCGTCGTGCAAGAAAGCACACGACGCTGCACCACCACAAGTGAATTCACTACAGGTCCAACTTGTGGCAGCTGCAGACGAAGCGACTAGCAGCCAGCTATGTATCATATTCCCTGGAACTGGCACCACTCATGTCATAGACGAAACTTGTTCAATGTAGAGGAAATGTCTCACGGCTTGATCATTAAATACAGGAACTGAGGCGAGTAGGGGGCGGGGGTGGGAGAAGAGGAACATGTAGCGAGCGGCGGGGGAGAAGGGAGTATAGACGGGAAGGAGCAGGTGGGAGAAGTCGAGGGGTGAGGAGGGGAGGGGGTAAAAGGAACGGGTCCTAAGAATAAGTGCCAAGTGCCGCTAAACTTTCCTATTTTACCTTTTTTAAACATATATTATTACTTGACAATATTTAGAAAACTATCGTACGACGTAGACAATAACTAGTTAGCCAAGGCATTGTATTGACTGTTATAAATTAACCAAATTTATGTGTATAATTCATTTATTTGGCTCCCCACAGGACAGTTATGTGCGCTGAGGTGTCAACTGAGATGTGTTAAGTGAATTTACCAAGAGTCCTCATTTGTTTTACTGGACATGAGACATTATAATATATTCCAGTATTTACTAGACATTGTAAGGACAAAATTAAAAGAAAAAACAAACAGATATGAAAAATATGTTATAATGAAGAGATGGTGGCGACAAGGCAGAATGGCAGTGTGCGCATGCGCAGAGTTGAGCGGGAGGTGCTAGCGGCCACTTTCACTATACTACACTCGCTGCTCACTACCTGCGTAGCGTACAAGTCTCTGGAGCGGCGAGCAGGAGGCTAGTCAACACTGCCTGGGCTACACTGGTGCTGTGTGCTGCTCCCCGCACACCACCCACCACCCCATTGCCGCTACAAGATTTAAGCTGCACCACTTCCTCACCCACCTTAGTGCTCAGTGGTGCACTTGTGCGGACTAAATAAGTGACAGTGTTGACTCGGTGCGCTGAAATGCAGTGAATGACACAGGCTTAAATCGAGGAGTTTTGGAAAGGATTTCGGATATATTTTTGATTTATGGTGTAAATTAAGTGCCTACAAGATGCCGAAGATTTTCTTGATCAAGGACCGCTTGCAGCAGCAACAGGCTAAGCTTCTAGAGGCACAAAAGGCGGGGACGCCCCAAGATGACGACCGCAACAGACATGTACATGTCCACAGCTCACCCTTCTCGAGCTCCTCCACCCTCGACATGAGAAGGGAGAGATCCCGAGTCTCTCAAATGGACACCTCGGTACCATCAGTTGACATCAGGAAAGACGGTGTATCTCATCTAGGAAGGAGCAGTCACTTGGATTTCTCAAGAGACAATCGGCTGGACCTGTCGCGTGACAACCGCCTAGAGCTGTCAAGAGAGTGTCATCTGGATTTGTCGCGGGATGCCCACCTTGAGCTTGAGAGGGAGAGCTCCCTGGATTTAAGGATGGGTGAGAGGTGTGTTGAACGGTGTGTCAGTCCCAGCAGTCGTAGCTCACGTTACTCTCCTTCACGACGACTGGACGACCACCCAGATGACCAACCACTCTCTCTCACTATCAGGGACAGAGGTAAGGCACCAACATAAAAAAAAAACTGTCATTCATAATTACTTACAAATGACCATTCTTAGACTAATATTATTCTTTTAAAACATCTTTATTCGAGAATGGTTATTTCTTTGCATTCTCTCTCTCTCTCTCTCTCTCTCTCTCTCTCTCTCTCTCTCTCTCTCTCCTCTTCTCTCTCTCTCCTCTCTCTCCCCTCTCTCTCTCTCTCACTGGCATTTAACCATGCTGGTAGTAAACCATGACTGCTTTTATTTTCGTGAAGGAGACCGTTCGTTCTTATTGTTTCCTAGTCAACACTGCAGCAAATTGTGTCCTGCTCCGTATTGTCTGACGAAGGACGCCTCCCACACCCGAAAGCAATTTAAAGTTCTCTACTTGTGAATAAAGCTAACATTAGACCGACCGTTCAACACAATCAATGAGTCAGTCCACTTTTGTAATTAGGGACGACTGAAGTGTTTTGTGCAACTAGTGTCCTTGGTCGCTTGCAGTGTCTAAGGAAGTGACGTCTGAGTTTCTTTTGCCTATTCGAAAAACAATAGAATATAAAACCACGTCCTTCAGTGCTATATAGCTATAAGCGAATGTATTTAATTCGTCAACACTGCAATTTTTTTAAGCATTTTTAATAACGCAACAATGCTGGCTGTGTCACGTCTTTCTGGCGGTTGTAATGCTGAGGCCAGGTGTGGACTCACGGGTCACAAGTTCTCTGGGAAAGTCTCCGGATCTCGGGTGATCATAATCTATCCCGTAGGAGAGGAAAATTTAAGACACCTTGGCTGGAAGAGTTCACAGCTGACCCGTAAAAGGAAACCAGATTACATTTGGGTCCACCCTAGACCATTATCAAGTTGCTCGCGCCTTGATAATGGTCCAGAATGGACCTAAACGTTGTCTAGTTTCCTTTTGCAATTTGTGAGTTGCGAACTGTGTCCTGCAGAAGGCGGAGAGGAGGAAGTGATGCTGCAACACGCCACACACGACTTGTTGACCCTGGCGGTGCAGGGACGCCCAACGGGACTTTAGAAAAGTCTTTTGAAAGGACCTGACGAGTGCCAGGACTGAAGCCACCTCACAAACAGGTTTTTCCGAGACCACTACCCCGGGTCACCACTCTCGGACCTCTAGTCCCGGACCACTAACACACGCCACTACTCAAGAGAGTGTCAGACCCTCATGCTGGAGCACAGAAAGATACATCAGCAGCAGGGCCATGAGCTATAGCTCAACTTTAACAGCTCGGTAACCTTTCAAACACAAGTGAAGTTACAGCTTAGATCAATCACTGAACACTCCTCCACTTATTATTTTCAGTAATTATTATTATTATTATCATGGAAAGAGCTAAGGCCGTAGGGGCACTGGTCTAAGTCTTTGCTTTCAGGCCATCAGTAATGAACCATTCGCTGGTATCACTACTATGTCACTACTAACCCTGGACCGCTTGCTTACCACCAACCCTGGACCACCACACTTCACCGTAATCTGTTCTTAACTTGCGTATGAACTTCCCTGGATCTCACGGGGAGAAACCGGCTTGGACAGTAAGCATTTCGGAAGCAGCTTAGCAATTACTTAAGATGCGTCACTATTAGGAATGAAACATCACCAGTGGTGTGCCGGGTATGGTGTCATCATCCTCTCCACCAAGCTTTGTTATCCCAGGATACGATTAAGACTCTTGCTGGTCTCTTATTAAACTCTTTCTGCGATTTCTGTGTTATTTCATTCGGTTGGCGGAGCTCTAGCCTCACACACTGAGTGTCCGTGGTTCAATCCCCGGCATGGGTGGAAACGTTGGGTAATTTAGTCAACTGGTGTGGGTCGCGTCCTGTGAACAAAGAGTGAAGGATCCCAATAGAAATAAGACAGTCCTCGATGATGCACTGAGTTGCTTGGGTTAACTTGGGTGGATAACCCTCCCCCGGGTTATCCTGGGTGGATAACCCTCCCCCGGATTATTCTGGGTGAATAACCCTCCCCGGGTTCCCCTGGGTAGATAACCCTCCCATGGGTTATCCTGGGTGGATAACCCTCCCCCGGGTTCCCCTGGGTGGATAAGCCTCCCCCGGGTTAAAAACCCGAACAAATCATATCTTGATCTTAATTGTTAATTTATGTTAACTGTCTTTAAATCTCTTGCTAAAATTTTCTTATAAAGACTGAAGCTTAGCATTATTTTACAGTAATTTTGTCTTGATATTCAGAATAAAATTAAAGTTAACGATGCTATATTGAATACCATAAGAAAATCTGTCAGAAATCAAAGTCTCTCAGATTTCTCATATAAAAACACTTAAAAATATTAATAATGTTACGGACAGATTACAAACTCGACATTCATGAAAAGTGGCGAGCAGCGTGAACAATAAAGTTGCGAGCAGCGTGAACAATAAAGTTGCGAGAAGCGTGAACAATAAAGTTGCGAGCAGCGTGAACAATAAAGTTGCGAGCAGCGTGAACAATAAAGTGGCGAGCAGCGTGAACAATAAAGTTGCGAGCAGCGTGAACAATAAAGTTGCGAGCAGCGTGAACAATAAAGTTGCGAGCAGCGTGAACAATAAAGTTGCGAGCAGCGTGAACAATAAAGTTGCGAGCCGCGTGAACAATAAAGTTGCGAGCAGCTTGAACAATAAAGTGGCGAGCAGCGTGAACAATAAAGTAACGAGCAGCGTGAACAATAAAGTAACGAGCAGCGTGAACAATAAAGTAACGAGCAGCGTGAACAATAAAGTAACGAGCAGCGTGAACAATAAAGTTGCGAGCAGCGTGAACAATAAAGTGGCGAGGTGAAATTCCCCATGATTCTTAACGTTATCGTGGGTGGTGACATCGCCCATGATTCTTAACATTATCGTGGGAGGTGACATCCCCCATGATTCTTAACATTATCGTGGGAGGTGACATCCCCCATGATTCTTAACGTTATGGTGTGAGGTGACATCCCCCATGATTCTTAACGTTATCGTGGGAGGTGACATCTTCATGGGTTTGCTAAAGCCCCCACTACCTCACAAGCCACAAATCAACTTTAGTTCCAGGTTCTACAAGCAGAGGGGCTAGTGTGTACCTCGACCACTAGAACTTTAAACACGACAAAATATGCAGTGAAGAGGGGACAATGTAAGCACAGATGAGGTCTTACAGTTGAATATAGCTATCTTCTCACGTATGCTGTACTTTTATCAAGATTAATCGACTGAAGCCATCGACTCAGGCTGAGGGACTCATTACTTCGTGCTACTTATATCTTCCACTGTTATTCTTTGTATTGGACGGAAGAAGTTACTGGTTGGCGAAACGCTTCCTCGGTAGAGATTCCCAGTGTTGCACGAGTATCTCAGTCTTCAGCTTGCGTGCACTTACACACGTTAATGTGCACCCACACACACAACTACGCAGACACACAACTACACACACACACACACACACACACACTACACATACACACACACACACACACACACACACACACACACACACACACACACACACACAACACACACACACACACACACACACACACACACACCTACACACACAACTACACATACACAACTACACATACGCACGCACACACACACAAACACACACACACACACACACACACACACACACACACACACACACACACACACACACACACACACACACACACACACACACACACACATACACACCGCACACACACACACACAACACACACACACACACACACAACACACGCACACACACACACACACACACACCACACACACACACACACACACACACACACACACAGCTACACATACACACGCACGCAACAACACAACACACACACACACACACACCACACACACCCACACACACACACAAACACACACACACACACACACACACACACACACACACACACACACACACACACACACACACACACACACACACAACACACACACACACAAAGGTATTCTGGGCATCCCTATTCTATATTGCTTAATTCATTTTATGGCACCGTCAGCGACAAACGTTAAAGAAATTATGGGAACAATTTAACTTATATAATGTAGTTAAATGCATTAGTCTCCATGGGTAAGTGAAGAAGAATTCTTCCTACATAAGCCATGAGAGTCGTAAAGGAGACTAAAATGCCGGGAACAAAGGGGTTAGTAACCCCTTCTCCTGTATAAATTACAAAATGCAGAAAAAAAAACTTTTTGGAAGCGTTTCTTCTTTTTTTGAGTCACCTGCCTCGGTTGGAAACGGCTGGTGTGGTAAAAAAAAAAAATTATTATATCCTTCGAGAAACTAGATTTATTTCAAGGTCTTGGAATGTGGAGTCGCGTCACCTAAACCTTCGCAAACTCTCGCATCGGATTTCACTCTTACCCACAACACGTGAGAGTACCTGACGATCAACACCCGTCCCCAACACCTCCGTGGTAACCTTGAGAGTTAACACCCGTATAACACCAGAGGGCTAATACCCGCATCTCCCTCATCCCCCAGACAACACCTGCACGATACCTTCCGTCTCTGAACACCAAAGTCACAGTAATATCATGATATCTTAACACTTCTAATACATTTGTATGAGATATCTTACCACATTGGTACCAGATATCTAAGCACCAGATACATTGGTACCAGATATCTAAGCACCAGATACATTGGTACCAGATATCTAAGCACCAAATACATTGGTACCAGATATCTAAGCACCACATACATTGGTAGCAGATATCTAAGCACCAGATGTATTTGTACCACATATCTAAATACCAGATAAATTTGTACCACTTATCTAAGCATCACAGATCCATTTGTTCTGGAGAAAACGGGAAAAAATAACGAAGCGAAAAAGGTACAATAGTGTAAGGCGAGAAAATGGACAGAATAAGAAAAAGGACAAAGAAAGACAAAGAACAGAGTAAATACAGCAAAAAGTGAATGAGAAGAGGGAGAGCACGAGAGAGGAGATGAGCAGAAGAGAAGAGACCAGAGAGAGAGACAAG